TTGCCAGACAGACAGAGAGAGACATAGAGACAGAAAGCAAGAAATCACCCCCTAGGGGAGATGGTCACACCGCAATCCCTTCTCCTCCATTCTCCTCTCGGGATCTTGGGCACGCACGCACACGCGCCCGGCGTGAGTTTTAAGCCACCGGGTCTGGGACACGAATTGTGGTCGACTACGTGGGAGTCCAGCGACATAGCCATTACGCTAACTGCTGGTTCCAAAAAAAAGCCCACTTTTAACAAGCCCTACCATGTTATCTGCTAAGATTTTGACAATATGGAAAGTAGTAGTGTAAGAGACCCCATAGAAGCATTTAGGAAGAAAACCAATTAATGATAGTCTTATAGAAAGAACTGAACAATGAAAATATGAGGATAATAATTAACTTCAGAAAACTAATTCATTGAATTTGTTCATGAACAATGTTTGTGTAGTCAAAATGATGAACAGTTGATTATTGATTAAATCATGGGACAGATGTAGGAAAGAAGAGTAGGAGTAGGGTATAATTCTAGATGTTGTAAACAAAATTTTAGAATGGACAAATTAACAAAGAGTAGTGTGTTAGTTCCCTAGAGCTTTTGAAATAAACTACCACAAACTGCATAAACAACTGAAAAGACATGTATTCTCTCACAGTTAAGAAGGCTAGAAGTTCAAATCAATATATCCGCAGGGTTGATTCCTTTTTAAAGGCTCATAGGGAGAATCTGTTCCATGTCTCTCTCCTAGCTTCTGTTGGTTGCCAGAAATCCTTGGCATTCTTGGGTTTGCAGCTGTGTAATTCCAGTCTCTGCCTATGGAGTCATGTGGTTATCTTTCCTCTGGGTCTGTGTTTCTCCCTGTCTCTTCTATCTTCATAAGGATACCAGTTGATGGGGTTGGGGTCCACTATGATCACATCTTAACTAATTACATCTGCAATGACCCTATATCTAAATAAGATCACTGAATTTCCAGAAAAACGTGAATTTGACCAGGGGATGCTACTCAACCCAAAACTACTCAACCCAATACAACTGACATAAGCATAATATTAAAAAATTCTAAACACACACAAACACACACACCTGAAAGAGTCAAAGATCCTTAGTTCTGGAATAGAAACCAGTGGCTGGAGAGGACTGGGTATGGGAATGATGTTTCTGCTTCTAAGACTTGGAGCAGACATGCCTATGGTATGCTAGTGCCCAGGTTGACTTCCTCCTTCAGGCCAGAAGGGAGTATCTATCATACTGTATTTATTCTCTCAGTTGTCCAGTTGTAGTCAAATCACTGCTTCTTAACAATAGGTTGGGGGAGAAAATGACACTTTCTGTCAGAAATGGCCAGTGTAAGCCCTTTCAGTTCTATTCCTCCTGCCACAAGGATGTTGAAAGCATCTGTCAACTGGAATGCCTTCAGCAAGCAGCCCCCACTGCTGTGATCTGAGTGTCTGGATGCCCCTGAAATCCATACATTAAAACCCTAATTCTCAATGTGATGGTATCAGAAGTTGGGACTTCAGAGAAGTGACTAGGTTCTGAGGATAGAGCCCTCATAAATGGGATTATTGCCCTGATATAAGAGAGCCCAGGGAGCAACCTGTTCACTACGTGAGGACACAGATTGAAGGCACCTTTTATGGAACCAGACACTAGATCTCTTGGCAACTTGATCTTGTATTTCTCAGGCTCCAGAATTGTGAGAAATAAATTTCTGTCACCTGCAAGCTAATAATATTTTGTTACATAATTTCAAGTGGATTAAGATGATTCACATCAGACATGAGGTGAGGAGGAGGGAAAAAAATCCTTAATGTATGAAAGGACTCCAAAAAGCACATAGAAAAACTAGAATTAAGTTGTGAGTTTATTTTAATAAAAAAATTGAAATCTATATATAGTTCATTCATAATACACATTTTCCATGAAGTACTTGAAGACCCCTTATATTCTATAATAAGTTTTTACCAGCATTTAACAAATGGAGGATGGGATACACCAGACCTAATCTAACTTCACAGTTTTTCAAGAGCTATTTTTGCCTCTTCTTGCATATTTATTACTTGCAAGAAGTATTATTCTGAGTATGGCTGTGGCTCATTTTTCATACTGTCTCATATGCTGGAGTATGGCAAAAAGTCAAATGTGGCACATGTACTCTATGGAATATCACTCAGCAATAAAAAAAAAATGAGACCCTGAAATTTGATAGAAAGTGAAGAAATGGAAGATTTAATGTTAAGCTAAGCAAGTCAGACTATGAAATACAGGTATTCTATGTCCCTGCTTAATATATACTAAACATCAGCACTCCACAGGAGAAACTGAAAGATTGGAAACTGTAATTTCAGGAAGGGCAACTGTAGATACTAGAGACAGTTTGGGGTAATAGGGGATGGATAATAGAGGATGGGAGAGAAGAGATCAGGGAAAAATAACAAACAAGATATTTAATAGACAAAAATGAGAAGTTATCTGTTGATAGTAATATATACAGTAATATCTTTGACTTGAGTAATATGCACTGTATTCATGCTGGGAAAAACCATGTTGTATAAGGTAAAGATGTATAGTGATTAACTAGAAATAAAAATAAAGAAAAAAATCTATTTGTTTACTTCTTGGAGTCCAGTCTTTTCATATGTGCCTAATCTTTTCCTTTGTTGAATAAAAAGTAACAGATTCTAAAACTATTTTCAAACTTTGCATCAAAGGTTTTTATTTTCCACTGTGTAAATCATTAATTCTTTTATTTGACTATCGATTAATTTCTGTTTTAAAATGTCATCATTTCGTGTACAATGTACCATGTAACAGTGAAGAGAGTCTACCATCTTAGTTTGCTCCTGTCCACTTGATATCACCTTTATGTCAGTGCTCAGGTGATAAATCCTATTAATCTTGCACATTCTACTTCTGTTGCAATATTAGGTGTACATATTTTGGGCTTTTAGCTTACTCTACAATGTTGGTAAATTATCAATAAATTTTTTAATGTTATGCAGATCAGATACCATCCAGCATGTGGTTTCCCTCTTTCAGGGCACCTAGAAGGACTGTACTTTGCCTCCTGCTTGAAGTTAGGCAAGGGCATATGACTAATTCCAATCAATGACTGCCATTTGCATTCAAGTATTGCGATAGCAAATCAAATATAACAAAATATCTAAAGTATCTTCATTGTTATAGCCCTAGTAATGCAGCACATTCATTTTAAGATATATACCATTCAATTCCAGAACAATGAAATGGTACTTTTCTAAGTTCACAGTAATGAGATTCCTCATGTGTCCTCAGACCATGAGTTCTTTGAGAGTAGAGCTAACTTGGAATTTACACACTAGGTACTTATTACATGTTTGCTGAATGAATAAATGAAGACTTGAGTGAATGAATGAATGATCATAATTTTAATATCATATCTTACTTAAATCATTTTTATTTATCCTCTATGCTCATCAGGACACTTTACAAATTTGGGAAATTTTTCCCTAAATGAAAAAGACATTTATTCTTCAGTGACATAAACAACAATACATTGGGTTTGCAAAGTTAACACAGAATCTGAAAAAGAAATATCAGCGAGTTTTGTTTTCTGTTTCTGAATCTTATAAAGAAGATGGTCCAGGTACACACATCTTGCATTGGAATATAATTTGTGGTTCTCTTCTTCCACCGTTTGTTTTAGTGACCTGAAGCTATTACACACAGAATGTTTGTATCCCTCTAAAATGCAGATGGTAAAGCTCTAACTCCCAAGATGATGGTATTTGCAGGTGGGGGCCTTTGGATAATTACATAATTTGGCCTAGATAAGTCATGAGGGTAGGGTTCCCATGACGGGAATAGTGGCTTTATGAGAAAAGAGACAACAGAGCTTCCTCACTCTGCCATGTGAAGATGGAGCAAGAAGGCCTCCTTCCAGCCAGGAAGAGGGCCTTCATCAAAAACTGAATCAGCTGGGACCTTGTTCTTGAAATTCCCAGCCTTCAAAACTGTGAAAAATCAATGCTGTTTAAAACACCCAGTGTATAATATTTTGTTATACTAGCTTGAGCTTAGAAAGAGGCCAACTCTCATCTTCACCACCTCTTGTAGAGCTACTATTTTCATGTCACAGTCACCATCTCTTGCTTTCAGCAACCAGCCTACAATTTTGCTGCCTCTTTAAGTAGATGAAGTAAAATGTGCTATCAATGACCATGAAATCATTAAGCATCAAATACTCATCAAGTATTTCTCATTGAGGCAACAATGGTTTGTTCGACCACCATTGTTACATGACACTCTTTGTTAGCGTGCTCCAAGCTAAACATGGGGCTCTGGGATTTTATACAATGCAAATAAATAAAAATTTCACTATGCTCTTAAGAAATTCTAATTTGAAAATAGAGAGTTCGGTAATTCAGCTATAGGTTTAACTTCTTAAAGGTGCTCTATATCATATTAATCATTTGTTAATTTAGTATTTGTTTTTGTTCTTGGTAAGTAGACTTAATACATTGCCCTGATTGGTAGCTCCCTTTAAGAGCAAATGCATTTCCCCGGAATTATGACATTTTGTACTGGCAAACAGTTACAGGAATAAATTCTTTAAGCACCATTTAAGAAACTTCAAATTTTGGAGTCTTACACCAAAATTCTGACTATTAAATAATAATCTGTTACAGGCAATGCCAATGAAAATCTGCTGTCATAATTCACTGGAGAAAGTTCAGTTTTTACATCATTTTGATAAATTTACCTCATTTTCCAGTATATCCACAAATCATACCTTATGGTTGTCATGTAAAGGCAGTAAAATATTACATACCTTCAGATGACCTCTTTCCAGAAATGCTTTTCACTGTTCACATTTTATCTGTCAAATAGTACTTTTTTTAAGAAGCAAATAGAAATGCCATTATAGGGAGAAGCTACTAGTCTGGGACAAGTTCTAGCATTTAGAGTTCTGACAGATCTTAATTTGGATATCAGCCAAAGTCAATAAAACTTGTTCATGCAGAACCTTACCTGGTTTTCACCACATCGAGGGGGTGCATCAGGCAAATTTCTACAAGACCTGAAAGATGATAAAGAAAAGTCCAGTAAACACTTACGTAAACACTGGTTCTTATTTCCTTGACCCTTAGTGATTTCTCATGTATGAAGATTTAAGTAAAGAATATAGGACCTTGGACATGACAGTTAATAGTAGAAGGCTGGTGGCAAAAGCATAATATGGTTTTATGATAAATATTTATTTCAGTGGGAGCAAGGTATGTGAGTGAGTACTTTCTTCTAAGTGCTCTGGGAGGGAGGTAGGGAATTAAGGAAAAGAAAATAAAAAGGGAGATTGAGGTCTTAAATCCCAATAGATGAGGCAGAAATCATTGGGATGAGTGTAGCCCAATCGAGTCCAATAAATAAGTACATGTGGAAGGAAGGCTGGAAAGAAAAGAAACAAGGAAAGAAGAAAGGGAGCATCTTTGAGTCTCTCCATCTCACTGACAGAGCAAATCAAAAGCCTCAATTTCAGTACCCACAACAATAAAAGTAAAGATGCCTCTTATCTACAAGATAGTTACAGAAATCCAATATATTTCAATAAACTGATAGCTTAAAAGAGAACATTTATTGAGTACTCATTGTGTGCAGGATATCGTTCCAAGAAGTACTTAGGTTATCTCTTTAATCTTCACAAGAACTCTGTGATAGGATGCATTATCCACATTTTATGTATAATTCGGGTATATAAGATGAAATAACTTTTATAAAATGTCATATCTAGGGAGCCAGCAGGTGCCAGAGTGGTTAAGGCAGCCAGATCCCACATGGTTGACTCAGCAGGTTCAAGACCTGGACCTGGCAGTTTGAAAAACACACTGGGGTATATTTGCATGTGTGCCCAAATCCTGACAGGAGGAAGAAATGGAGGAGAAGGGGTTGTGGTGGTGACTCTTCCCCGTGGATGGTGCTTTCTTGTTTTCCTTCTCTCCTTCTCATATTGTCTTTCTCCAGTAAATACACATGTTTGTTGAGAAATTGTTTTTTTTTCTTGTAAATTCTCATCAAGGAGATAATTTTAATTCCACAAAGACCATAATCTTAACCATTATATAGTGTGAGAGACTTTTTATAGCTTCTTGCAAATCAAATGTAAAGCCTTCCCTGCTCTTGTCGAATTGAGCAGAGGCTTCTAAATTACAAACTACTAACAGGCATGTTATAATATTAGTAAAATAAGTAATTTTAGGTGCTAATAGTTGTAAAAAAATTACAGAAGTGGTTGTTATAGCATTACAATAGTGATAATCATAACAGCTACCTTACTTGAAGATTCTATAGAGTGATGGTCATTTAACATACGCATTTGCTGATACTGGACAAAGTTAGTGTCAAACTCATCTTTACTTTCTCATCTTTACTTTAAGAAAAGCAGACTAAGGCTTATAGTGTTCAACTGATTTTCCCAAAGGTCACACATCAGTATTTATGGGTCATTTCTTAAGGGAGGAACATTTCCCTCCACATGTAAACTAACTCAATTTGAGTTTAGCAATGATTTAGTTCATTTTGTCTATCCTGTACTTAAAGATGAAAATGTATTTTCCTCCTTATACTCTCAACTCTAGAAATCTCAGAGGGCCTATATCTACCTAAAGGCCCACTTTGTTTCTACAGAAGCTTTAGGAAATTCTGTGAACATCTGCTAGCTTGCAAAGTTGTATGTATTGACTGGAAACAGTTGTTTACTTTGAATAAAACTAATAGGATAAAATATTTTTTAAAAAAGAATTATTTTATTTAACTTTATTTATTTTTATTTGGCCAGAGAGGGACAGAGTGAGAGAGAGAGAGAGAGAGAGAAAGTGAGAAAGCAAGCAGTCAGGTCCAGGACTTGAACCACGGTTGGCCATGTGAGAGTTCAGTGCTCTTAACCATCACACCCCCTGCCAGTCCCCTAGGATGCAATATTGATGTCTGTCCCAAAGGTTTTCCAAATCATCGACTCAATCAGAATCCCATTGTCTAGTGACATAAAAAGAAATGCACAAGAGCAGAGGCAACAGAATAATTGGGTACAATGGCAAAGCCCCTGGGCCACTGTTTTAGCTTTATTAATGGGCCCTGTTACTCAAGGTAGCATGGGTGAGTCTCTTCCTTGCAGCCTGAAAGGCCTTGCACACTGCTTACTAAAATTCACAGATGACTGTGGAGAGCTGTATGCATACATGCTATTGTGCTAGGTGCTTGGGAACAGTCTGATGCAGTGTCAAGCATGCCTGAAAAGCTGGAGGATTTCAAAGGTCAACACAAAAGTGGCACACTGGGAAAGCCCTTTATCTGTAAAGGAAAAATACTGGCAGAAAATAGTAACATGCATAAAACTGTTTTAGGCCTGGTGATTTAGTGTTACTATTCGTAGTGTGAAATGCCATCATTTGTTCTTCATCAGTTTTAGTCTAACATAATTGTTCATTTTTACCCTAAATTTTCAACCTTCTTTACATAATTATGTTATAGCTCTCATAAAACTAATGACAGATAGTATAGAAAAATATTTAAATAATTTAAATTAAAATTTTAATTAATCTGTGGCCTGGGTATTCTTCATATTTGGATTGCCTGTTCTAAGTTACAGATCTTATTTCTGTGATATATATGTATATATATCCAGGAAGCAATTCTTACAATTTTCACCTATTTTACCAAAGACCACTGGTGGCTATCTCATAACTTGATGATAGACTTTTTCCCTGAGAGTTTGAAGAGTAGAAAAACACATCAAAAACATCACTCCCCAGAAAAGATGCAGTTGCTCCTTTTCATTCTGGAGACCTAAAATGCTTACAGCATAAGGCAAAGACCGCCCCCCACTCACACACCCACACACTTTTTTTCACTCTTCCCTTTACAACCTGAGCCTCAGCAAAGAGGCAAAGGCGAGCGCATTACTACATTAATGGACTGATAGACTATGGGACATCCCCCACTCCTGCTAACCCCTAATGGAATCCTCCAGTACAGCGACGGGAGGTGCTGTGTCATTCCTGTGCCTCCCTTTCCACCATCCTCCACCTTCACTTAGGAGCAATGTTGGAAATGGACTTCACTAGCCCTTTTAGTGTTAGGATAAAGGGATGTGGAAGACACATTGGGTGCCCAAAAGTGGCCTTGAACATAGCTCATTAATGGATGTTGAATGACCCTTTGGTTAAGGTCTTAATTTTAATTTTAACTATACACAATACTATCATATTATATGTTGATCTGTTCTAAGATATGTTGTTTGAGGACAGAGTATTTTAAATTCATTATGCCTTTTTATTAAGTTGATTCACTGTTCTCTCTACAATTACCTTTAATACATCAATTATATTTTACTATAATCTCATTACAGATATCAAGAATAGTATTTCTCATCCCATACCATGGTTGGTAATATATAGAAATATTGGGTTGTCCAAAAAGTCATGACATATTTTTCTATGCAAAAATGTGTCATGACTTTTCAGATAACTCAAAACATACACGTTTGTCTCTCTACAATGCACTCCTCAATCCCTGCCAGCCATTGCAGTATTCACCTCCAGAGAGAAAATAGCACCTCCAGGTTGTGAACAACCCATGAAGCCAGACACCATGAGCCCATTGAGAAGATGTAGTATTTCTCTTTATGTGACCACTGAGAAAATAATGTTATAGACATGGACTTCACTGAAGATGTCCTGTATCTACTCCCCTGGTGATCTCATCCCAATTTGTGGTTTTAATTATGCTAACATTTTTGCTAATTAACATTTCCAGATGTCTATTTTAAAGTGTAGACACAAATACATGATTGTCTATTGGATATATCTGTCTGAAATTCTTATTTTGTTGTCGTTGTTATAGGGTGCGTGCACTCACTAGAGAGAGAGACAGAAATCAAGAAATCATTCCCTAGGGGTCATGGGCACACTGCAATCCCTTCTGCTCCATTCCCCCTTGGGATTTTGGGCACGTACACGTGCCCAGCATGAGTTTTAAGCCCCCAGGACCAGGACTCAGACTGCAGTCGACTAAATGGGAGTTCAGCGGCGTAACTATATACCATCATCTGTTCCCTTTGTCTGGAATTCTAATAGCAATATTGAAATTCACTTGTTTAATACTGGATTCCTGACTCTGTTTACCATTCCAAAGTAACATGCCCAACCTTAGAATCAATCTGGACTTGCCTCCTCTCATAACCCTCTAAAAATATGTATGGAAATCTCATAGGCTCTACTTCAGAGTATATCTGAATTTCTGCCATTGCTCACTCCCCCTACTGCCCTGACTCTGGTTCAAGTCTTGATGATCATTTCTCAGTTGATAAACGGCAGCTGTTCCTCAAGCGGTCTTCTTCCATTCACCTTTGAACACTTTGAGCTGTCCAAACCCACCCGCCTGAGTAAGCTTTCAGAAAGATAAGTGATTTCATGTCATTCCTCTGGTCAGCAATGGCTTAGAGAAAAGCCGTGTGTAATTCAGGACTATGTTACTTCTCTCATCCCTTGTCTTGCTACTCTGGCAACATGGGCCTCCTTACTGCTTCCCTAATATGCCAGGAGCAGTTCAACTTTATAATTTTGCTCTAGCAATTCCCTCTGCCTGGAATGCTCTTCTCTCAGATTCCACTTGGTTAATTCCCTTCTCATGGTCAATGAGTAACCCTGACCACTCCAGCACAGAGACCTGACCCTCCTCACCCCTAGCACTGATGAAAGTCTTCATGCTACTATGCCGTCTCATTTTTCATAATGCTTGTCAACTTCTAATATGTTACATTATTTGCTCATTTATTATGTATATTATTTTCTTTGTCCCCTCAGTAGAAGATGAATTGCAGCAGGGCAGAGATCTCTGTCCATATCATTTATGGATATTGTCCACTAAGTCCCTGAATATGCCTGGTACCTAGTAGTTTCTGAATAAGCATTTATTGAAAAAGCAACTAAATGATACTTAACAGTAACCTTTGGTATAAATTATATTTAACAATAACCTTGGTATTTCTTTTCCCTGGTATGTAGAAGATGAAATTTTAAGACCTTA